ACCACCGCCTTCCTGGGCCAGTGCTATGTGGGCAGCAACGGGGAGGAGACCCTGCATGCCCTGTGGCTCCTGCGAGAAGCGGCTGAGAGCCCTGACGAGGACTGGAAAGCCACCCGGTGAGCTCCGGGTTCTGGCCACCATTGTGCCAAACTTTCCTGCACCCCAGGCTGGAGAAGGGAGAAATCCCACAGGATGAGGCACGGTGGGACCGGGAGGGTGAAATGGGTTTGTCACTAGTGACGAACAGTGGCTAAGAAGCATCCCTTGACCTGGCCAGATCCTGCATCCCGGGTGTGCCCCAGGGTGGGTGACCCCAGGATGGGGTCTGGATCATGATGCCAGCACCCGGTGCAGCCTCCACCATAGTGTGCTGGAGCCCTTTGCATCCCACTCAGCACCCAGTGAGGCAGTGGGGGACATGGTGCCTCCCCGCCGTGTTTCCCCTCTGTACCCACCACCACAGTCTAGGTGACCGTGACTGGGTGAACCACAGTGATCTGGGTTTTCCCGCAGGATTGGCACCAGCATTTTCACCCGGATAAAATAACAGCGAGTGGGAAAATCCAGGAGGCCCAGGACCGCAAGGAGATGGCGCTTCCCCCAGCCAGGCTCTGCCCACCCTGATGTGCTGCATTTCAGCAGCTGTAAGCCCACAGCTTCATCCTTTCCTGGGCAAGTTCAGCCCAGCGTTAAGGCTGGGCACTGGCTGCAAAATAAAGGCTTTCTGTGGGGATGGGGAGCTTGGCTCCAGTTTCTGCCCTACCGCAAACCCACGGGGTTTGTCTTGCCCCACAGCCCGTGCTCCCACAGGGAGACTTCATGCAGCCGGGTCTTTTCAGCAGCTGTAAGCCCACAGCTTCATCCTTTCCTGGGCAAGTTCAGCCCAGCGTTAAGGCTGGGCACTGGCTGCAAAATAAAGGCTTTCTGTGGGGATGGGGAGCTTGGCTCCAGTTTCTGCCCTACCGCAAACCCACGGGGTTTGTCTTGCCCCACAGCCCGTGCTCCCACAGGGAGACTTCATGCAGCCGGGTCTCTGGGGATGGGGGCTGTCCCATGTCCCCTCCCTGGCAGCGTGCAGCAACGCTGCACCTGCAATCCTGCCGCTGTGCTGTGGGTAACTCATCCCTCTGGGTCCCTCCCACACACAC